AGATGCAGATTAACGTAGTGGATCTGTAACGTAGTTGATCAGTAACTATTTTGACATAAGCAAGAACCGCTTCGTATGTTTAGAATTACTTCAAGGTTATTTTGTTCTTTCAGATATTCACTAAATATAGTCCGTACCATGGTGCTATGCTCTACAAATTACTTAAAAAAATGTATTTCTAAAGCAGTTTGTACACCCTTGGTACTTCATCAATACGTTTTAGATCTCATACCTAAAAATAGGCCGATGATTATTCTATTGGCGCCAATATGTTTTAAAGTTTCAATTACCACGACTTGTTTCTTAACATGTGTTCAACCGTAATCTTCATCATTTATCAGTTTCACTGCCAGTGGGCAAGAGGATTTTTCCAACTCTTTTCCAACAAGAAGTATGGAACAGTTTAATTCAAAGCTGTTTTCTTCATTATGTATAAATTCACGCTTTTGTAAGCTTCGTAGCACGGTACAATTTATTCAACTATTTTGTTCACGATTTTGAATGACTTTATGAATACGGTTTTAGACTTACTACACTGAAAAGAACCGAAACTTTCTCACTAGGTCTAGCCTGGCTCTGGCCTATGTTACTATTTTCTATAACTATACTGTTTGTTTATTCAGAAAGTCCAAGTAAATATATTATTATCTGAGAGTTTTCATTTGTCCAGTTGGGCAGGGGCGGATCCAGGATTTAAAAGAGGGGGCGGGGGGGGGTTCATTTTCCCATAAACCCAGAAATGAAAGGAGGGTCCACACTTTCGCACATAAATTATTACGACGTCGAGCCAAAACTGTTTTTAATTGTATTTAATTCAATGCTGGTTGTCTAAGTCTATTTTGTCCGATCTGCCAAGCTATGCCTAGGTAGGTTACATAGTTACCAACCTGAAATAATTGAAATACGTGATTTGAAACGCGGGCCGGCGGTCAGCAGCTCCCCCGCTGGGGTCCAGGGTCGGGGACCTGATGGGAGTTCTGGGGGAAGGGGTGGGGCGACACCCCCTGGGCGATCTGAGCATTTTCAAGCTGTTTTTAGGGAGTGTTTATTGACAATATCAGGTACATAAAAATATTTTTAATAAAGCCACGTACAATTCGAGTTTCAATGTATGTTTAATTTGAGCACCCGAACTTCTACCCCTCCTTTTATACTCCTCCATCCCTGATTCTTAATTAATTGTTTAAAGGGCCAACATTTATTTTGAGTTGGGCTCACGGGCCAAAAGATAATATCAGAGTACCGGTAATTAAGCAAGTCTTTATAATGTTTTTGGTAATTTCAAATTCTACTTTTTGTTACAATATATGGTAACAAATTCTGTAACTTTAAGCAAAGAATATTCTGTTCACATCCTAGTTGGTTAAAACAATACGAAATTGCATTCGGTGTATAATAAATGTTAGTAACATAAAAATTAAAAATGTATATAATACGCATACTTTATAAAACATAAATTGACCTAATTTTCTGATAGATAAAAACAGATTAAATAACATTAATTAAATGAAACATATTTAATGATATAGGCGTATTTGCTATCATCAACCGTAATACATAATTTGAAATAAAAGTAGGCGTATCGTAGAAGAGAATCACTAATGGGCATTGACCTAATAAGTACTTTAGAAGTACAGAAATAATACTTCCGCTACTTGGTTTTTGTGGATGCAGAGAAATATGGGTATATAGAACGACTAGAAAATAGGTGTGATATCGAAATTCCAAAAGAGGAAACATCATATAAAGATATCCTGTTTTCTTTCCTCTATTTCTTATGTAAACCCGGATTTAAACTTTCAAAACGTTTCTACAATATGTATTTAGGCTTCATCAACACTGTATTGTGAATGCATCAATAGTCAATTAATCAATTAATTGAATAATGCTTTTGTATCATCGGCACACCTTTTTAGTGTAACCTTACAACGACTAAACAATAATTAATTGATAGGCCTATAGAGAAAACACAAAATAAAAAAAAATAAAAAAAAAATATGTTCTCTCTCTTATAAAGTATAATGAAAATAACCTGATGGAAAAAAATCAATAGGAAAACTAGGAGGAACAATACATCGAAAAAATGGGGTGGGGGGAAATAGTCTGGGGAATAACTCTCTAGGTACTAAAAAAATCCGTTGGGAAAATTAGCAGGTGGCAAGTAGCCACCGCAATAGTGCTATATTCTGTAAAGTAAAGCCTCAAACCACCTCGATTTTGAGTCTACTATATTATAAATCTTCCCAGGGTTTTCCAGATATAGCTAGAACTAACTTAATATTTGCCGTTTTTGATAGCAGATTATTTTTTTTTTAAAGATTTCAGTGGGTTAACCCGACTCAAAGACAAGCTTGCATACAAACCAACATGCACATTCATATAGGAGCCAAACAAGGACAAAAAAATTTCTCCCATATTACAGAAACTTCTTTTTGGATGAAGTTGAAATTAATACAAAAACAAATTCTTTTTTATTTAAAATAATTTTTTTAAATGAATTAAGAAACATTAGAAAATTCAAGATTAAATACAATCAAAATAACAAGCTTCTGTTCTTTTGACTTTTGACCATAGTCCTACACGTTTGGAGTCCATAGGAGGTCGGCCTTACCCACCACAACCAGAACCAGTTAACCATACCAATCAATTTTTAGTAACGCGTCAGTGAATTAAGTATTCACGTAAATACTGTACTTACCTGACTGCGTGCGTGCTTGATGCTGACAACTGCAGTCGAAGTTTCTGGTCAACTTTTGGCAAACTGTTCTATTAGACAAAAATAGAAACATGAATGTTCCGAACAAATTGACACCACAATAAGCCATTTCACGGTTTTAAGTGCGGATGCTCGTATCAAGGTCAATCGATATAAACGCCATACACAACATAGTTTTATGTCAATTGACCTAGGATACCACAGGATAAGCGCATGTGCAGATACAACTCTGAAATGGTTATTAACTCTCTACCACGTAATGGTTGGGGAGATATGAGGACGCTATGTCTATGACATTTGACCCTGACCTTTTCGCCACATTTTGAAAAAGTGTCACCAGCCGAAAAAAAATATTCTTGGACCAACCTGAACCAATTTCTGAAGTCAAATTCGCTGGACCTCAAAGTGTATACAAAACCTGGTCTGGCTACTATAGTATAACAACATTTCTTTCAACTTTTTTTTTATATTTAAACAGTAGAAGATAATAATAGTAAAAAATAATATGGGTCCACTATAATACCGGATATTATATTGTAGAAGTGTTGGTTTGGACTGGGGAAGATGGATTTCATGAGAGGTCCTGGTGTTATAAGAATGGATTTTAGAATTATGAATAAAATTGCAAGACGAATTTGATGGAAGAAGAGAATGGATATTTCGATAAACAAAAGTATTGCTGAAGTTTATTAATGTCTGACCAGTAAACTAATGAAGATTAGAGATTAGTTTGTTAGAATGGGCAAGATAATGACCAGAAATAAGGCGGACGGCCCCTTTTTTTTAAGAAGAAAAAGAAGAAGATCTATTTTGTTTAGGTTAGAAAAATAATGATTAGCCCAAACAATATTGCAATAAACAGAAAATTAAGAGAGCAATGTTATGATGAATATGTGCTGGTAAAAAAAAAAGAGACGATAAATTATGCCTATGTTTTTTGAGATTTTGATTTCGATATTATTTATATGGCATTTAAAATTGTATTACCTTCATGGAATGACTCATGTAAGCATAATAAAAACAAACCACTGATCATGAATTTTAGTCACATGTATTGTCCGTCCAATCATTGCAAGCATGTTCACTTGCTTTCTGTAGTGGATATCAGCTTTGATCTACATACTGTAAAATAATGTTAGCCTATTAGGACGCATAATTCATTGAATCTGTGACGTGTGATTTTATATTACCAGCGAGTAAAGTTATATTTACAGACGAAACGGTTTTATACTTGCATGCATTTTGATGGCGGCAACAATTGATTTGTTGATACAACAAAACGTTTCCGTATGGTTATTTATTTTTGTGATTTGTACATTTTTACCGGTCATGCTGGCGACGATAATTGGAAACTTGATTGTTATACTCAGTGTGTATCGGAAACCTGCTTTAGCAAAAATTCCAAATTATATCTTCATATCATCCTTAGCACTCTTTGATTTCTTAACTGGTTTGATTGGAGTTCCTCTCTGTATGGTCGCTTTTATTCTTCGTAGAAAGTTCTCTTATACAGAAGACTGTGGCATTTGGTATTTTGTGCCCGCCAGAATATTTGTCGTAATCTCAGTGCTGCATCTAATTGTGATCACTATTGATCGAGTACTTGCGATTAAATACCCTCTTCGATATATTAGGTGGATGCCAGTTGAAAGAGCAATTCGAATTTGTATTTGTGTCAGTTTATTTGGTGTTTTTCTCGGAGGAATTCCATTTGCAGTAGCTGCCGTTGCAAGCATGTTTGTGCCACCACCTAACGCGACGTATGAATACGAATGCGGGAGTTCGGCGTTGTATGATATGTATGGCAACCCTATGTACCATTACCTCAAGCCGATAGCTGGCTTGACGATTCCTATTATGTTTATTCTGTACGCATATATATTCTCAATTGCGTCAAAAAAGGCGAAAGAGGTTGCCACACGTCACGGAAAGCAAATAACCAGACGAGAAATGAAAGTTACCAAGACAACAGCCATAATACTTCTGGTTTACACTCTGTGTGTTGCACCAACTGTTTTAAAAAGCATTGTCCACAAAGCTATTGATAATGGTTCCACCTGGCTTGTGTGGTACTTGTGGTTAGCAGATTTTCTTGGACTCGCTAGCTCAATGATGAATCCTTTAATATATGCGGGAAGAAGTAAAATTATGAGAAAAGAATTCAAAGAAACCATTACTTCATTGTTTTAAGGATTTACCCGAATCAGAAATAGAAGACACATACATCCAGGGGCGGACCAGCCCGGTATGAAAGATGGGGGCGTGTAGGCCTCAGGGACGTAGCCAGGATTTTGAAAGGGGGGGATCCGTTATGCGAATTACGTATGACCCCGGCGGGGTCAAGGGGGCGAATCCCCCGGTGAAGTAGCGCACTCTGAACGTTCTTAGGACTGTTTTAGAGGATAAAGTGAAAATTGCAATAGACGCATTATAAATAAGCGAAAAAATAATTATATAATAAA